GTTTCCCGTTTAACACACAGCCGGACCGGGCCCGGCCGGGCCGGGGCGAAGGCGCCCGGCACTCCCTGCGCCCCGTAAGTCCTCCCGGCCCCGGGGGGTGGCGGCTGCGGCCGTGGCCAGCCCAGGGCCAGGGCATCTGTTCTATCCCCCTCCATGTGTGTGTGTGTGGTGCTCCTCGCCAGGGGAGCCCCCCTCCCTGGCCTGAGTTCCGGCCAGCCGGCGCCCTGGATGAGAGCCGCGGGGAGGGCGGGGGGGGAGGGGGGGGGCCGTTCGGTGGCTTGCGCCTTTCAGTAAGGCCGTCCCCCTCCGCTGTATCGCCGCCCTCCGCGCGGGGCGTCGGCCCAGGCGGCGCCCGTGTGCTGCTCCGGGGCCAGGACCAATATCCCGAGGGGTGGAGACATTGCCACCCGCGCCTGGACGCGCGTTCGTACTCGCGACCGAGGCCGGCCTGGGCATTTCTAGCACCCGAGGTCGGGGGCGTGTGGCCTTACCGAGCGAAAGGAGAGGCTCCCCAGGCCTCCCCAGTGCTTCGAGGGTGCCCCTCCGGCCTTGACACACACACACACACATACGGCCCCTTCCCCAAGCGGGGGGTCTATTCCCCGCCTATGTTGGGCTCCCCCGGTGGCCAGTCCGCTTCCCCGCCACCGCCGCCGTGGCAGGAGTTGGCCTGTCGGGACCCTTCCCTCGTGCCGTGATATTTCCCCGGCGCGGGGAGGGGTGTGCGGCGTGTCACCTCCGTTTCGACTGGCCTGGTCGGTTGAGTTCCCCCCCCCCCCCCCCCCCCCCCCCCCCCCCCCCGAAATGCCCCCCCCCCCCCCCCCCCCCCCCCCCCCCCCCCCCCCCCCCCCCCCCCCCCCCCCCCCCCCCCCCCCCCCCCCCCCCCCCGCGGGGTGGTGCCCGTGGGGCCCCTCCCCCCCGCCGTGGAATTTTCCCCCCGGGGGGGGGGGGGGGGGGGGGTGCCCCCCCCCTTTTCACTGGCCTGGTCGGTTGAGTTCCCCCCCCCCCCCCCCCGCCCCCTGCCCCGAGCGTGCGCCGGCTGCCGGCCCGGCCGGGCGCTTCGCCGGGCCCCACATCGAGGCCGTCTTTCGCGACCGCCGCGCCCTCTTCTTTTGTTAACCTTTTATTGCTTGTATTGTGTGGCTTGGGTGCCTTTGCCAGGGCAAGGTGGCTGCCAGGTCCGGGGGGGGGGGGGGGCGGGCGGGCAGGACGGCAAGTGGGGGGCCGCTCGCTTCCGCCCGAATGCGCCTGGCGCGCTGGCGGGTGTTTCTTCGTGAAGGGACCCCGGCTCAACAATGACACCTTGAGGGGGCACTTGAGTGAGAGCCCCAGCCAGACAGGGAAGTTGTTGTGAGCGGGGTTCTTTTTTTCTCGCCCCCCCCCCCCACTCTGGGTGTGCCGCCCCCCGTGGTGGCTGTTGTCGGCGTCCCGAATTTGTACACACCGGCCGGCGCCTGCGCGCGAGGGTGCGAACGGCCGGGTCCTCGGGGCCAGGGCATGCGCGCCCATGCGCTTGTCGGGCGGCGGGGGGGGGGCAGAGGGGTAAAGCTCCCCCCACTTGGGTCCCCCGTCTGCGTGTGTGTGTGTGTGTGTGTGCGTGTGCCAGGCGGTGCGCGCCTTTTCCTCGGGCGGTCTTCTGTTCTGGCCCCACCCCTGGGGCCCCGCTCGTTTTCGTTAGCCGGGGCCAAGCTCCGAAAGGAGCGCCGGGTCCCGCGGACATGGTATTCTTGCCCGAAGGGAGCCGCGCCCGTGTCCTGGATGCCTGCATGTGTGTCTGTAAGTCTGTTTGTAGGCAGGTGTGAATGCCTGCATATATGCCTATGTGCGTATGTGTGTGTGTGTGTGTGTGTGTGTGTGTGTGTGTGTGTGTGTGTGTGTGCATGTCTGCATGTGTGCGGGCGCATACGTCTGCTTCATGCTTCCCACCTCTACACTCCGCCCTGGAGGCCCCCCCCCCCCACCTGTGCGGGGCCAGTGTTTTTTTCAGCCCCCACCCTGGTCCACCGGCTTGCAGGCTCTGCAATGACTCTGTGTGGCCTCGCTTCCTCCTCTGTTATCTGTCCGCCCCGCCCCTCCCCTCCCTCTCCTCGCCCCCCACCCCCTTGCCTCTTCCCTTGTGAACTGGTATCGTCCCTCGCTCGCTCCCTTTCGCGCTCGCTCCCCTTCTCGCCCCCCCTCCCTTCTCGCTTTCTCCTCCCTTCCAGACGCGGGTTCTGCGTCGGTCCTTCCCGCCCCCGTATCCTCTCTCTCTCTCTCTCCCCGACGAGCAGGGGAAGGGGGCAGGGGGGCCTGCCTCGCCTTCACTCAGGGAGATACCCCCGCGCCCCCTCCTTCTCCCGGTACGCCTTTCCCCTCTTCACCTTGCGCCGCTGCTCCCGACCATGCTTCCTTTGTGGGTCGGTGCGATGTGTGCTCGCTTGCGCCCCCCCCCCTTTCCCATATTCCCCCCCTCGCCGCTCCCCCCCTCCTCGCAGTATCTGCACCTTGAGAGCCTCCCCCCCCTCACAGACAGGAGATTGCATCTGTGCATGTGTGGCCGGCCTGGCAGAGGTGTTCTCGCAGTGCATTTTCTGGCTTTTCGCCTCCTCCTCCTCCTTCCCCCCCATTTGTGACCCTCGTCCACTTTTTTACTGACTCCTCCCTCGCAACACAGCCCTTCTCCCCCCCTCCCCTTCCCCGACCAAGAGATCGCCCACTTCCTCCCTGTCCCGCCCTTCCGATCCGCCTCTTCCCCCTCCCTGCTGACGCCCGCCCTCCGGCCCTGTTTCCCCCCCCCCTCTCTCTCTCTTTCTCCCTCCCTCCCTCCCTGCAGCCCCCACCACTTGCAGCCATGAACTCCGAGTAGTGCGTTGTCCTTGCCCCTTCGCTGGTCTCCCCGTCGCACGCACCCGTCTCTCCCTCTCTCTCTCCTCGCCCGCTGACCCATGCCCCGTTGTTCAAACCACTTGCCACTCTCTTGCATCCCTGCTGTGCCCCTCCCTCCCGCGCGCGGCCCCCTCCACAGCGACACGACGCTCTTCCGATCTCCCTCTCTCTCTCTTTCTCCCTCCCTCCCTCCCTGCAGCCCCCACCACTTGCAGCCATGAACTCCGAGTAGTGCGTTGTCCTTGCCCCTTCGCTGGTCTCCCCGTCGCACGCACCCGTCTCTCCCTCTCTCTCTCCTCGCCCGCTGACCCATGCCCCGTTGTTCAAACCACTTGCCACTCTCTTGCATCCCTGCTGTGCCCCTCCCTCCCGCGCGCGGCCCCCTCCACAGCGACTACCTTTTCAAGCTCCTCCTCATCGGTGACTCCGGTGTCGGCAAGTCTTGCCTGCTCCTGCGTTTCGCCGACGACACCTACACCGAGTCCTACATCTCCACCATTGGTGTCGACTTCAAGATCCGCACCATCGAGCTCGACGGCCGCACCATCAAGCTCCAGATCTGGGATACCGCCGGTCAGGACCGCTTCCGCACCATCACCTCCTCTTACTACCGCGGTGCCCACGGCATCATTGTCGTCTACGATGTCACCGACCAGGAGACCTTCACCAACGTCCGCGGCTGGCTGCAGGAGATCGACCGCTTCGCCTCCGACTCCGTCAACAAGCTGCTGGTCGGCAACAAGGCTGATCTCGTCTCCAAGAAGGTCGTCGACTTCGCCGCGGCCAAGGTCCGTCTCTCCCCCTCTCCCCCCTTGTTGTGCATATGCATGTACACACGGGCTGCCTCTCGCACACTTTCGTGCAGTCCTCTCTCCCCCTCGCCCCTTGCATTCGCCTTTCTCTTCCTCCACTCTCCCCTCGCACCCACCCCCCCCCCCCGGGCAGGGCCCCGACGGGGGGAGGGGCGGAGGGAGGGTGGCCGTGTGCCGTGCCATCCTCCCGGCGCCACATGCCGCCGGTGCTGGCGCTCCGGCTTTCCCCCTCGTCTCTCGACTTTTTGCGCGCACCAGCACACCGCCCTTTTTCCACCCAGCGCTCCCCTGCCCTTGCCTCCATGTGTGTGCGTGTGTGTGTGTGTGGCCCTGTGATACTCACACACAGAGAATGCCTCTCTCTCCCCCTCCCCTCCGCGCTCTGTCTTCATTTCACAGGAGTTCGCCGACAGCGTCAACATCCCCCTGATCGAGACCTCCGCGAAGACCTCCACCAACGTTGATGAGGCTTTCGTCAACATGGCCGAGCTCATCAAGCGCCGGTTCGTCCCCCCCCCCCAGTAATCTCCCCTTCTTCCTTCCTTGGCTTTCCCGCCCCCCTCTCCCCACCGCTGCCATCTCACGCAGCACGTCTCGTTGCCTCCCCCCCCCTGCTGCTCTGACCCGCCCCCCTTGCTCGTCCCCCCTTCTCCTCTTCGCCACACCCAGCACCGGCCCCCCCAACGTCGAGGCCACCAACTCCGGCGCCGGCAAGGTCAACATCAAGCCGGAGCCGATCCCCGCCCCCCGCTCTGGTGGCTGCTGCTAAGCACGCACGCTCCCACCGACTGTGTGTCTTTGCAATAAACGCCCCAGAATATATGTGTCATCCTCTCTTCTCTCCTCCCCCTTCCCACGCTCTGGGGGTGCCCACCGCAGGGGCCCACACACGCCCCGCCCCCCCCTGTGCCCGAGCGCGTCCCCCCCCCCTCCTTCCCCTCCTGTGGCTCCGTGGTCATAGCCGGAGAGGGGGATCAGGCTGTGTCGGGCCCCAAGGAGGGCCGGGGAGCGGGGCAGGCGAGAGGGGACCGTCAGTCGACAACAGTATTGTCTACACACACACACACTCACGCATTGGAATGCTTGCACATGCATGTTGGCGTGCTCCCCCCCTCCCCCCCTCCCTGGCCACATGGGTTCTCCGGTGTTCTGGAGGCTGTATCTACCTGGGCCTTTTGCTTACCCCCTTGCCTGGCCCGATCCTCCAGGCGATCCCCCCCCTCGTGGAAGGACACTCCTTCTCACCTTGCTTGTTGCATCTCACAGCCCTATCTCTCTTTCTCCCTCCCTTCCTTCCTTCCCGCCCTGTAAAAAAAATAAGAAAAGCCAAAAACAAACAATACATCCTCTCTTCTCGCACCCCGCCCTCCTCCCCCGTTCCCCTTGCATCCCGCGCCCCATCTGCATGTTGGCATCGAGGCGCCGAGGGGGGATATCCACCCCACCGCTCAGTTGCGGGGCTCCGCCCTGTGAAGTGGTCACACAGGTTTTCTCGCCTCCTGACCCCTCCTCGCGCGCCTCGGATCATCATGCGTCTCACCCATGAGGCGAGAAGGGGAGCGAACAGGCCCGACTATTGAGACATGCTGGGAGGGCACGAGAGAGGCAGGGGGGCAGAGAGAGAGGCAGAAAAGGAGAGGGGGAAGGAGAGCTTTCTCCTCCGTCTACTGCAATCCACCCGGAGACCCGAAACGGATGGCACTCCAAGCCGGGCCCGAGCACAGGCTGGGGGGGGGGGGGGATGAAAAAAAAGAAGAGCCAAGTGTGCACTGGAGCCCTTTTTTTTTCTGCCCTTTTCGGCGAACCAGGGCGCCAACAAACGACAACACACCCCGGCAGCAGTAGCTTTTTGACCAACCCTGCGCCAGGCAGATCGCCGAACGGCAATAGCCCAGATTCTGGTGGCCGGTCAATGGCCAGCTGCCACCGCTCGGGGCACGCGCGAGCGGCTCCGCCCCGGTGTGCTGCCCGAGGCCCCGCCCCCCGGCCGTACTCTCTCTCTCTCTCCCTCTCTCGCCCCCTGTCTCTTGCGCCCAGACACAGCCCCGGGCCGGGCCGTTGCCTGGCCAGACTTTTTCCTGTTGCGCCAGGGCGGGATCGGCCTCGCGGGCGGGTCGATCTTTTTCCGCCACTACGGGCCCCGGTCCCCGGTGTCCGAGGCACCAGCACCCCGGCTTCCCCTGCCTCTCCCCGTGCCCTCCCTCTCCTCCCTCCCTCCCCCCCCCCCACACACACATCTCGCGTTTTCGCCAGGCCGCACCCGCTCTTGTCCCTCTGCCCGCTCGCTGCCCGTCCCCCGCCAGACACCATGTCTGTTGCTAGCGAAAAGCGCCCAGCCGCTGCCATGGATGAGTCTCCCTCCTCGCAGACTCTCGCGGTGGTCCAGCAAACCAAGCGCGCCAAGGAGTCCACCGATACCCAGCTGGCGAAGGTTGCCCCGGTGCGTGTCCATCTGGGGCGTCGGTGCACTGGGCCGCTTTTGGCGGTCTCGATCGGACTCTCGCTCTGACATTTGCCCCCCCCCCCCCCCGCCCTCCCCGGTCCACCTGTGCGGCCCATGATGCCGCCACACCGCGCAGAAGGTCCGCCGGACGTCGCGCCTGTCGGACCCGGTGGTGACTCTGGTCGACGCACACCCCAAGGGTGCCAGCATCAACGCCGTGCGGGTATCCCCCTGTGGCGAGGTCCTGGCCTCTGGCGGTGACGATGGGTCAATCCGTGCGTGGGCTCCATCCCCAGGGCCGGCTCCTAGAGCCGGCCATTCACCCGGCAAATGTCCCCTCCCCACCTTCCACGGTAACTGACGCCCCTCCCCTTTCCCGGCTGGCCGGGGTCCCCCCCTCCCCCCCCCCCCCCCCCACGTTTGGCGGTGCCGCAGAGTTGTGGAAGTTTTTCCCCCCGATGGAGAATCATGCGGCGCTGAAAGGACACTCGCATGCCATCCGTGATCTGGCCTTCGCGGCATCCGGCACCCGCAACAATCCCGGGGCCCTGTACTCGGCGTCGGCCGACCAGTCGGTTGCTGTCTGGGACACGGCCACGGCGCAGCGCGTCCGCCGCTGGCGCCACCGGACTGGCGTCATCAACACCATCGCCGCCGCGCCGGCCGGAACCTCCTTCGCCTCGGCCGGCGACGATGGCCAGCTGAAGGTTCGCTCGCCACGGTCGCCCCTTGCCCCTGCTCCCCCACACCCCGACTTGGCCACTGACGCGCCTCTGGCTTGGACTTTTGCGCAGATTTTCGACGTCCGCGAGAAGCGCGCCACACATTCGGTTTCGCATGGACACCCGCTCACCTCCCTGGCCTGGGCGCCCTCCTTCTCCTACGGTGCCGACATCTCGGCCGGTGTCACCGGTGCCGATGAGCACCTCATCTTTGTCGGTGGCGTGGACAATCTGATTCGCGTGCGTCGCCGCTCCCCTGCCCGTGTTCTTGTGCCGGCGCTTCCCTCTGCACCTCTGCCCACTTAGCTCCTTGGTCTCCCTGACTGGTTGTGTATGTCTGCCCCCCCCCCCCCCCCCCCCCCCCGCGTGACAAATACTTCCCCGTCCGCCTGCTTTGGTCCCCTCGGCCCCCCTCTGCCACAACAGGCGTACGACATGCGAACCATCGTCAGCAGCCAGGCGGCCGATACCCCCGCCAACGCGCTGTTCATCCTGCGTGGCCACCGGGACACCGTGACCGGCCTGCGGCGGTCCCCCTGTGGCCGCCGCCTGGCGTCCAATGCCGCTGACAGCACGGTTCGCGTGTGGGACTCGCGGTCCTTCGTGACCGGAGCCGCGGCGGCGGCGGCCGCCGCCCCGGAGGAGGGGGCCGTGCCGCTGGACCCGCGCCTCCGTGCGACGCTCAATGGCGCACCGCATGCGGCTACCCTGCCTCACCTCCTGCCCCGGGTGGCCTGGTCGCCGACCGGGTCGCACCTGGCCGCCGGGTCGCCGGCCGAGCGGTCGGTGTGCGTGTGGGATGTCTCATCGGTGCCACTTGGCGCCGGTGGCGGCGGCTCGGCGCAGCTGGTCTACAAGCTCCCCGGTCATCAGGGGGCCGTAACCGATGTCGACTGGGCGCGTGGCGGGGCCTCCGAGAGTGACGGCCCCAGCGCCGAGGGGGTCGGTATCCTGGCCTCCTCGGGTCTCGATGGTGTGGTCTTTGTGGGCGAGGTGTGAGGGGATGATGGCCGCGCCGTCCCCGTCCGCCCCTTGCTCCTTTGTTCGCCTGGCCCTCGATGGGTGCCCAACCCTTGGACGCCCGATTCTCCTACCCCCCCCCCCCCCACTCTTGTCCCTCCCACCAAAAAAAACACAAAAACCCACCCCACCCCCCCCCCCCCCTTACCCACGCATCCACGCTTTCCTGCGTGCGTCCCCCCACACATAGGTCTGTTCCTTGAGAAATACAATAAAAAACGCCTCCCCTCCTTCGAGCAGAAAATGCCTCGCACCGGGGGGGGGGGGGGGACACCCGGCACCACAGCCCCGCCCCATGCCGGCCGGACCGTGTCGCGGTGTGGTCCCCTCCCGCCCCGTCTGACCCGGCCCGGCACATGCGGAGGGCTTTTTCCCAGAGACGCAAGGAGGGACGGCAAAGCTCGGCATTTCGTTGGCACTTCAGGGAGATTGCCGTCTCCGCTGCCCGATGGCTGCGCGCTCACGCGCCGGAGGCTGCCCAGGACGGCTGGCCCTCTTGCAATGGAAATATACGGCTCTGGGCGAGCAGGACTGAGGGCCCCGGTATTCTCCCCGGGGGAAGCCCTCATCGGGCCGTCCCCTGTGCGTGGCAGACCCAGGGGTGGGGGCGACCGGGGGGGG